GAACGTCCACAAATGCTTTGATGACATCCATAAACAAACTCTCTCAAGCTTGGTTTTGGGCAAACAAACTAGATACTACTTTCCTCTATAAATCTCATGTGTTTAGATTTGGTATCTCTAGTTTCCAGCGCACGAGTTTACATTTGTCTAGGACCTAGTTGCCACCTCTTGATTGTATTTCCCCTTTTTTCTTTCAAATAATAGAGCACCTCTTCCCTCTATATATATATATATATATATATATATATATATATATATATATATATATATATATATATATATATATATATATATATATATATATATATATATATATATATAATTTTGGGCATATAAAAAATGTCAATCACATCCACGACTCCCGCATCTCTCTGCTCAAGGAAGGTAAAAAAAATTGAGTATTGAATTTGACTGTATTTAATTTTCATAGATGACGACTGTTAACTCTGAAATGATATCAAGTGTCGACTCAAGTCAAACTTACGTACTCGGCAAGAGACGAAAGAATAAACGAAATGTATATGACCCTCTGATACGTTATCAATGTCCTCATCGCATCGCGAGATTAATGAAACAAAAAATCTATATACGCCGCAAAGCTATGTCGGAACGAGATGATCCCAAAGAAATGTTTAGTGTGGACTCTGCAAATAGCATATGTGGATCAGGCATGGAAGACCCCTCTGTAGATTCATCACACCGATCGAACACAAACGTTGTTGTGCGTTTCAAATCCTTTGATTGTATCAATTATTGTAATCCTTTGCAATTTTTGTCATGAACTCAACTACTCAAATAAAAAAATCCTAATAAAAGAATTTTTTTTATTGTAGAATGAGTCAAGAAACTGCCCATGGACAAGGCAACAACAATGAACACGTTAGTGTTCATATCGAAGCATCTAGCTCCACTCCTCCCATCCATAATGAGCCTAACAATCCGCAAAATATCGAAAACAATCCAAATGCTGGTGGTCAACCCGACCTCGTGATTCCTGCTTTTCTAACTAATGTTTTACAACAAATAGCCAATGCTCCTATGTTCCAACCACCGCCACCACGTGGGTAATGTACAAAACACTAAGGGATAACGGTGCTGAAATATTCCTTGGGGATCGCATTGTTGAACCCTAAATTGCGTGGGATTGGATCGAGCAAATTGCTCGAGTCTTGGAAGATCTGAATGTACCTATTGGCAACGAGTGGTTGAAGAGAACCGATGAGAGCGCAAAAAACCTAAAGCCATGGACTTGGGCATATTTTGAATGGGCATTCAAGCAAGAGTATATATTCTTAAACGTTTTTGCAAAGAAAAATGTAAAGAATTTGTTGAACTGCAACAGAGAAATATGACACTCCTTGAATACCGTCAGAAGTTTACCCATCTTGCCAAATTTGCACCAACAAGAATAAACTTCGACCTGACCTCAGGTCGCGAGTGTCCATCATGACCACTGTGGATTTGTTGGCGGCCTATGATTTAATTCCAATGCAGATAAGGATCTAAGTGCTTGCAACGAATACTTAAAAGTAAATAATGTCGGCCCAAGTACTACTCATCAAGCCACCAGTTCTCTCTCAAAGGGAAAATTGCCTTTCTAAGAGTCTAGCAGCTCGCATTTCTCAAAGAAGGGAAAATTAGTGCAGACACCGTTTTAGGCAACAGAAAATAAATAAAGAGGGTGGAAACACCCATTATGCGACATATGCAGGAGGCACCATCTAGGCGAGTGCTGGCTTCCCGTACCTATGCAATGAAGGCACACGCTGAGGAAAACCCCCATTGATCGGGGTCATTCCGGGTATGTTTTCCTTATTTGATACTGTCATGCATGTGTTGATAGACCATGGATCAACGTTGTCTTATATCTGTGTGCCTATGCCTAACAAAGCTGACAAAATGAAAGACAACTTAAAACAACCTACTATACTAGTGTCTAACCTGTTAGGACACAGTATGAGGTTACATCACATGTATCAAGATTGTCCATTGATTGTCGAAGGACAACAATTCTCTACCAATCTTGTCGAATTACCATACAAAGGATTCGACATCATCCTCAGAATGGATTGGCTCACTGAACACCAAACGGTCATTGATTGCCGACGACGAATGATACAACTGAAAACCAAAAATGGAAAATCCATAGATATGTGAAGATTGAGTTTTAGTGGTAGTAAATTTCCCTCTAAAAGAGTTCAATTTATTCCCGTGTCGTATTTACAAGGATTGGCATGTAAATAAATTTTCTATTAAAAATTAGTTAGGCAAGGTATAATGATTGGTATTGGAAGTTTTCTAATTTCGAAAATTTAGGTTGATTGAATAGAATAGTAACTTGATTGAATTGATAAAGAGGAATATGAATTGATTTCAGGTAGTAGGCAATTTTCAGATATTTTAACTAGTTGGAATACTAAAATAATTAATTAATTGTTTAATGAGAGTTCTGTCACAACTACTCCATTAATTATATCTTATCTCTAAGTTTCATTAATGTGCTAGTATTGGTTGACTAAATTACTTTTCACATTTATAGACAAATGGATATAATAATTTTTTCAATAATTAATTAATAAATTGGCAAGATAAATTAATTATAACATTACAACAATTACTAGCAACTTAACATTTTAATTAATTAAATTTAATATTCCAACTTAATTAAATTTATCCTGCATACCTACTACCCTATTTCAATTCACATTCCTAAAATATTTAAGCAGACATGATAACAATTAAATGCACACAAATTAAATAACATAACATTTTTATAAATATTACAGAAAACTTACAACTTCCAGAAAAAGCGGAATTGAACAATTCTGGANTATAACATTACAACAATTACTAGCAACTTAACATTTTAATTAATTAAATTTAATATTCCAACTTAATTAAATTTATCCTGCATACCTACTACCCTATTTCAATTCACATTCCTAAAATATTTAAGCAGACATGATAACAATTAAATGCACACAAATTAAATAACATAACATTTTTATAAATATTACAGAAAACTTACAACTTCCAGAAAAAGCGGAATTGAACAATTCTGGATTTGAAACTCACAAAATGAACAAAAACTTAACTTCTTTATACAAATTTCGTAACTAGAGAGAAGGAAGAAGAAAAGTTGTGGAATGGGATGGTTGGAATGGCAGGGGAAGCGCTGCTTTTATAGCCTTCCGGAAGCCCAGGCGCGCGCCTGATGCTGAGGCGCACGCCTGTCAGGCGCCTGGGCTTCTGTTTGATTGGATTCTCCGCCGAAAATCCGATCTTGCGCCGTTTCAAATCGTCACCCCCACAGGCGTGCGCCTGAGGCTGGGGTGCGTGCCCCTCAGACGCCTGGGATCAAATTCGGCCCAATTTTGGCAATTTTGATATTTTGATCATTTCTTTTTGCTCCAAAGCCTGATTTGATCTCTTCTTCACTTGTGATCATCAATTTGAAATATTTTCTTCTATTTGGCCATGATATGCTTGGAAAAACTAATTTTAATTTTGAACAATCTTTTTATTAACAAATTTGTAAAATGACCTTTATCATAAAAATTTATTTGAAATTCTTGATTTATTTTTATTTACGTACAAGAACGTTGAAATATAAGGTATAAAATAAGACCAAAAAATTGGACTTATCAAATTTCTCACACTTAAACGTTGCTTGCCCTCAAGCAACAAATTGAATAATTAAAAGAATTTGAACAACTAAATGTATGCACAGAAAGTATTTTACACAATCTATTTATAGGAACAAAATATTAGATAGTCATCAACCTAATTTACTAAAAAGCTTTTTTACTCATTTTGAAAGAAAATAAATTCTTTTGTCAAACTCAAAATTTTGTTCAAATTAAATTAATCTAGGTTTCAAAGATTAAAATTGAAGAATATTAATAAGACTAAAATCGATGTTCTCTAAATTTTAAATAACAACTTTTTCTATACTAAAATTATTATAAGGTCAAAGAATCTTTAATGATTAAATTAAAAAATTGTTTCTTGAAAAAGTTACTTTCATGATTTTTTTTAAATAACATCACTTTGTCATGTTGACACGAGAACAAAGAACTTACATCCTCATCCCGTGACATAGAACCACGAGCTTTTTGGATATTATTTTCTCTCAAAAACCTCATCATGCAACATAGAATTGCGTGCTTTTTGGCATTCTCCAAAAATAATTAAATCTCATCATCTGATATAGAACCAGGTGCTTTTTGATTTCAAATTTTCACTCAAGAATTCGGTCTCACCAAAGTGTTTTTTATTTAAATAAAACTTTTAAAGAAACAATAAATGCTCATATTTAGAAATAGCGGAGCAGTATCTAAAAAGATTTTTAATGAAATAATTAAAAATTATTTGACCTTACAAAATATTTTTATAGAAAATATGTTAATTCAAACATTAGAGAACATGATATTAAATCTACTAATTTAGACTTAAATTTATCAATTCATACCAAAGATCTTCAAAAATTTAAACAAAAATCTAAGTTTGACAGAAAAAATTATTTTTTTTTGGGTAAAAATATTTTTAGAAAATTAATGCTGATGACTGTATATATAATTTTCCTAAAAATATAAAAATGTAAAAACTTTCTTTAGAGTATTTCAACCATAACTCTATCCTCCTCACACTTAAGCGGAACCGCGCCCTCGCGGGTTTAAAAGTGATAAGAAACTAGAGTTATGGTGGAAAAACTCAAATGCACAAATTAAATTATTCTAATACTTAAAGAATTCAAATTGAAGATTGAAACAGTACTAAATCAAGAAAGAAAAAATTTTTTGGGGAAAAGGGCGTATCGCACAGTAAACTTCCCCAAGATTGTCTCCACAAATTTGTGCATAAAATGATTGTTCAAAACAAAATCAAGCATCCAAGCAACCTGGTCAAATCACAAGAAAAAGCAAGTAAAAGTCTGAAAAAGTAATCAGATGATCAGAATCGGGGTGGGTTTGGGTGCGTGGGTGCGGCATCTGATGCATCAGGGGTCAAAGTATGACCAGTCGAAGGATGCTGAACTGGCGTCTGAATAGGAGTACCGATATTGAAGAAGTTAGTCCACTAAGCCTCCTACTGGTCGATAAGCCTGGTCATGTCTGCCTCGTAACACTGCTCAAATTCGGTGAAGCTTGTGTGTAACTCCTCCAATCTACCATGAAACCCACTCAGCTGGTACTGAAGACTCTGCATCTGAGTACTCAATGTCTGTGCCCATAGGGGTATCTGAAGGTTCTCCACCCCAGTAGAGCTCTGTCCCTGCTGAAATGTACTCTGTGGCTGTGGTGCAGGACGAGGTCGAGGTGATGGCCCCTCTCTCAGTCTAATCCTCCGTATCTGACCTCTCTGAAGTCGAATGTGCTGTATCATGGTGCTGTCCAAAAGTCGAACACTATGCTCAAGAGGTAAGAGGTCAGGTATAGGCATGTGCTCCTGTAAGGACCTGTGAAGAAGTGTGATCAACGGGCCGCAAACCACCGTGATACGTGTACCATATGTCTGAGACCACAAGAATCGGGCGATGAAAACAGCTAAATTAACCTGTCGCTGATGTGCTATGCTCCAGAAGAAGAGCATATCAGAAGAATAGACCCGATTGCTGTTACTGGGTCTCCCAAAGTAGCTCATGGACATCAGGAATGTGAGAAGCCTCCAAGAAGGCTCGGCCCAGTCAGAAGCTCGACTAAGCTGATGCTCGAAAGGAGCATCGGTACGTGCATGTGCAGTCCAAAAAGCCTGGACGTCAAAGTCCTCAGGAACAGCAATGGGAAGGTCAGCAAAAGATGAATGTGAGATCTCCTCCTGAGTATATAGGCCCAGTCTCCACCCAAGCTCAGCGATAGTAAGAGTATGCCGATGACCTAGAAGAGTGAAAATGAGGCGGCTGTCATGCCTCATAGCTATCCCCACATCATCTCGCCGCTCAAACCCCAGTAAAGGCCGCAATGAGCACAGAAACTCAATAGTGAGAGGCAAGCTAGCCTCAGCTCGTAAGGAAAGTAAACGCTCCCAACCAGATGGCCTAATCGAGGCTTCAACATCTGCCCACACCCCGGCTGCAACGAGTGGTCTTTGATCAAGAATCACTGGGGCCTGTAAAGATCGGTTCTGGGCCCACGTAGTGAATCGCTCCCGAGCCTCCGGAGTAAGAAGTGGTATTTGAAGATCATGTGCTCTCCTGAATGGATCAATCGGTGCTCCTACCATCTACAAAAATTAAACAACGGTTAAACTTGCCCCCAAATTTGGTACGACAAGTAAGCACTCAACTCTCCCTTTTTTTAAGTATATATATATTAAAAATGGTAACTGGACCAATTCAGTGTATTCGGGATCGGGCAGAATGCTGCCAATTAGGTGCTCTTAGGCTCACCCGAATAAACCTTTCCACAAAATGACCCAGTAGGGATGGTGGGACAAGTTTGGCTCCCGAAGGCGTCACCCTTTATGTCCACTTAAGTACCATTCCAGCTTAGACAGTCATTCTGTACATGGTACAGATATCAATTTTAACACATAAATACAAAAAGCTCTCTCTCTCTCTTTTTTTGTTTTTTTTGATGATGATGATGATGACGGGTTGCCTCCCGTTCAGCGCTTCTTTAACGTCGTTAGCTAGACGCTTTTCTCTTTCTTCATGCCTCCAAGGTTTGGAGGTACATTGCATTTTTCTCTCGAAACACATCTCCTCCTTCAAATTTCTTCAGGCGGTGACCATTGACCTTGAATTCACCATTCTTCCCTCGAATTTCTACCGTTCCATACGGATATACTTTCACAACTTCAAATGGACCAGACCAACGAGACTTCCGTTTCCCGGGAAACAACCTCAACCGAGAATTGTACAGAAGTACTTGGTCTCCTTCATGGAACTCCTTGGACTTTTTAATATGCGCATTATGATATTTCTTGACACGCTCTTTGTATAGTAGATTATTGTGGAAAGCCAGCGTTCTCCACTCATCTAACTCGTCCAGTTGGTAGAATCTGTCCATTCCTGCTGCTGATGAATCTAGACACACATTTTTAAGTGCCCAAAGCGCTTCGTGTTCAATCTCGACGGGCAGATGACAAGATTTCCCGTAAACGAGATGGAAAGGAGTAGTTCCGATGGGAGTTTTATAAGCAGTTCGGAAGGCCCATAAGGCATCATCAAGCTTCAAACTCCAATCCTTCCGCGTTTTAGCAACAGTCTTTTCCAGAATCGCCTTCAGATCTCTGTTTGTGTTTTCCACTTGGCCTTGAGTTTGGGGGTGGTAAGCAACACCCCCTCTGTGTTGGACTCCGTAAATGTGTCCCTCTATCACTGATCAATACTCGAGGTACCCCAAACCTCGCAAACAACTTCTTCAAGAAATGCACCACCGTGCGCGCATCATCTTTCGGACAAGCTTGGGCTTCGGCCCACTTCGAGACGTATTCAACAGCCACCAGAATGTATTTATTCCCATATGAACTCGGGAATGGTCCAACAAAATCAATACCCCAGACATCAAATATCTCACAAGGAAGTATGTAATGTTGCGGCATTTCATCTCGACGAGTGATGTTACCCGTTCGTTGGCATTCCTCACATCTGGTCACAAATATTTGGGCGTCTCGAAAGATGGTGGGCCAAAAGAACCCACTGTCCAGCACCTTTCGTGTAGTTCTTGTCCCAGAGAAATGGCCACCAACTGGCCCAGAATGACAGTGTTTGAGTATTTATTCTCCTTCTTCTTCACTCACGCACCTTCTCACCACCCGGTCTGCACAGATTCGGAATAGGTATGGGTCTTCCCAGAAGTAGTAGTGAGCTTCCCGTTTGAGTTTTTTCTTGAGGTTAAAAGAAAGCATGGTAGGTTCGATTTTGTTAGCTAAGTAGTTGGCAATATCGGCATACCATGGTTCCTTTTCATTGATTTTCAGTATTCTCTCAAATAGGAATGTCTCATCCACCTTGCATTCCCCAAATTGATTAGCCACCTCCGTATCGACACGAGAGAGGTGGTCAGCAGCTTGATTTGCAGACCCTTTCCAGTCCTTAACCTGTACATTGAATTCCTGCAAAAGCAGCACCCAGCGTAATAGCCTAGGCTTTGCATCATTCTTTTGAAGTAGGTATCTTAATGCCGAATGATCGGTATAGACAATTACTTCTGAAAGAATGATATAAGGCCTAAACTTTTCTAGAGCATAAACAATGGCCAAAAATTCTTTTTCAGTGGTTGTGTAGTTCAGTTGTGGTCCCGACAGTGTTTTGCTAGCATAGTAGATCGGATGAAAGTTTTTACCCTCTCGTTGGCCAAGAATAGCCCCGACTACTTCATCACTAGCATCGCACATAAGTTCAAATGGTTTGGTCCAATCAGGAGCCGCAAGGACTGGTGCTGTGATTAACTTCTCCTTCAAAGTGTTAAAGGCTTTTAGGCATTCATCATCAAAAACAAATTCGATTCCCTTTTCTAGCAGGCGGGTTAACGGCTTAGTGATTTTCGAAAAATCCCTTATAAACCTCCGATAAAAACCAGCGTGGCCAAGAAAGCTACAGATGGCTTTAACAGAAGTTGGTGGGGGAAGTTTCTCGATGGTCTCAACTTTAGCCCTGTCAACTTCAACGCCCTTGCTAGAGACCTTATGCCCTAGTACGATCCCTTCCTTGACTAAGAAATGACATTTTTCCCAACTCAAAGCCAGGTGGGTCTCCTCGCACCTCTTTAGCACTTTCTCCAAGTTTCCAAGACATTCTTCAAATGATTCCCCAATGATGGAGAAATCATCCATGAAAACCTCCATGAAATCGCCTATGAATTTCTCAAAGATAACAATCATGCATCTCATGAAGGTGGCAGGGGCATTACACAAACCAAAGGACATCCTACGAAAAGCGAAAGTTCCAAATGGGCATGTGAAGGTGGTCTTTTCTTGGTCCTCGAGATTAACATGTATTTGAAAGTAACCACTCATTCCATCGAGGAAACAATAATAGGCATGCCCTGCCAGTCTCTCAATTAATTGGTCAATGAAGGGAAGGGGAAAGTGATCCTTCCGGGTGGCATCATTTCACTTTCTGTAGTCTATCACCATTCTCCACCCGGTGACCGTTCGACTAGTTACTAAGTCACCCTTCTCATTTTTCACAACAGTCATTGTAACGCCCCAAAATATGGTCTAAAAGTTATATTATTTTATAATAAAAGTATTTTAGAAATAATATTTTGACTCAACAAAAATATTATTTCTATGTTTGACCAAAAACGAAGGAATTTTTGGAGTCAATGATTTTTGTTAAGATTGACTTTTATGGATAGGTCTCGAAGAGGCGAATCCAACGGTTTATTTTATGAGTAAATCTGATGTACAGAGGTTCAGTTATGACATTTTAAATATGTAATTTGTATAAAAATGAGAAAAAGTCAAAGAAGTGAACTTTTGTAAAATGACTTATTGAATTAAATATTTATATTTAATAATATTGGTTGAATATGAGAGTAATTTTAATTACATATCAATTAATTCAATTTTGACTCTATCAAAGTAAACACCCAAAAATAAGCTGTCAGAAAAAGTATTTCAAATAAATATAAAAATTATATCATTAAATAGAGTTTGACTGTCTGATCGCAACGGTGTGAACGGATTTCAATTTGGATAAAATTGGACCAAAAAGTGTACCCCAATTGAGGTAATTTAATCAAACTAAACTGGAAGGAATTAAATA